CGAAATTTCTGCAAATAATTTTTTTACCTTATGTTCATACAAATGAGGTGATGTGGTCCGCCACCAAATAATAGCTGGGAATGACAAACAAGCGGACATCATCCATACGCCACAAATAGCCATCAAAATACGTCGTTTCGAGACTTTATCACGATATCCTATGGGATCTTGGCCAGCCATGTATCTGAAGCACATAATCCGATAACCTGTGAGCATGTTCACCTACTTCACATAAAAGGAGTAATTCTACAAATTAATTATTTTGATCGTGGAAATCTGTAAAAGCTCATAACGTAGAGGGCAGCGTTCAGACTTCCAACCGACGTCAGACGACTCGCTACGCGGTTCAGTGCTACACATAGGTATCGATCGGTGCCGACCGTTACTACTGTTTTGTGAGAGTGCGGGAGAATAGCAGGGAACGCGTCCCTAATCGCAAAGTCTGATACCCCCCAGCTCTACCATACTCTCTCAAAACAGTAGGGGTCGGCGCCGATCGATACACGCCTATGGCTACGTCCCCTCTGTAGCACTGAAGCGCGTTGCAAGGATAACGTGTAGACGCGTGTTATCGCGAACTCTGAACGCTGCTTCAGGAACGTGTCACCACCTTGACGCTACCCTAATCTTCACATTGCACTTAACGGTTCTGCGTTCAAAAAAAATCAGGAATTTTCTCCAATATTTTTGCATGAATATTAGAATCGTACCTGTCGAGGCTGATCACACAAAGGTTCCAGATCGAACTTGTTGATGCCAAGATATCTAATGCGTGGAACAAATCACACATCGTTAGCCCTAGAAGAACAGCAATTTTAACATACTTCCTCATGACTCGATTTTACTTTTTATTAAGGACCGGTAATTCCAATTTTTTGTTTTTTTTTATTTTGCTTAGCTCCTCATTGCACCTCCTTTCAAAGGCCAGGCTAGATTTCGACCGGTAATTCACCCTGGAGAAGGATTAGAGTAAAATCAGTCTCTGGAGATCGTACGACCTGAGCTCACTGGCATCGGCTCATCGCGAAAAAAAAAGACACGGACCCCCGAATCATCAAGCACGAACATCACACTGCCTTGGTGCGGAACGTGCGCTACCTCCGTTACGGGGCCAGCGCCAAAACGTGCCGACGCGGGCGCCGGGCTTTCTCGTGACGAGCGGATGCGATGTTCGTGAACAAAGGTAAACTACGTTCGTGGCGAACCTTCGGCCGATACTACTCCGAGGAGTTATTTCGATCAGCATCTGTAGTAACGAGTAGTGGGAAAAGGTAAGCAGGGCCTTCGACAAAAAGCCTTCAGAAAATCTTCGAGTTCTACCAGTAGTAGCAGTAATAGTAGCGGAAATAATGAGGAAGTACTCGAAGAGAATTCATTAGATATAAGAAATCCCGTAAAACAGAGGAGTGTATGGGGTAAGAATGAAGGATTGCACGCTCTACACGGATAATATCTATTTTACTACTTCTACTACTATTTCTAAAACTATGTAACCCATACTAGAATGCATAAATTCGAAAGATGTTTTTTTCATATTCCCCGCTAGTGCAAGAGGGAATAGCGAGCGCCAAAATTACGGTAGTTCTTGAGCACCCACTCACCCTCCTCGATTTCTTGCTATTCCTATTGATTGAGTGAAACAAACGATACATCACTTCTCTTCATGACCGTTTTTGAGAAAAAAACTGGTAGGCCATCACTCAAGTGTTCAGTAAAGAAAGTAGTTTGTTGGGGAGTTTGTAAGGCTTCAAAGTTTACAAGATTGCTGAGTTAACTGACAATAAAAAGATTGGTAATTAAGATAAGAAGTTAAAGTAAGCTTTGTAGGTGTGAAACTTACCCAGTAACCATTCGTGATTAGCCATTTCGAATAAAGAATTCAATGGCATTACTACCAAACCGACTATTAAATCGGCGATAGCTAGTGATATAATGAGGTACCTGAAATACAAAGAAGTACTTTCAAACAACTGTTAACGAAAATTTTGGGCGCAATTCGGCTTGGGAGGGGCATTTTGCTGGTTTCTGTCGATTACTGCCAAAGACTCTGAAGAACTGCAGATTCTTGCCAAGATATGCAACAACAGGAACTTCCTTTACACTTGACGGGAGTCGACAGGTGTTTTTAAGGTAAGACGCGTAACTAAATAGGACGTAGCAAGAGAACCGAGCAAAACTGCAAATGCCCCTTCTAAGTGAAACAGCGCCCAATTTGTAAGTGTTTGACATACCCTGTGGGATTCCGTAAATATTTTTTCGTACACACAGCAATAACCACAAGGCAGTTGCCTGCTATTGTTAGTAGGCAAAATGTTGATAGTAGTACTGCCAGAAGAGGATGCCGCCACATAATTCCATCTGTATAAAAATAGTTGAAATAAAATGAAAGGGTAAAAGCGAATAAAATTTTGTCGTTGAGCGAATGCTGCTGTGGAAGAGCATGCTTTATCTAAGACACTTCTCACGCGCTCTATTGTCCTTTCTTCGCACTTGAGGAGCCAAATAAAAGGAATACCAAAAAAGTTCAAAAAGTTGAGAAAAATGACGTCTGTCAATCGATAAAGTGCATCCAGAAAAGATTGTAAAGGCAGCGGAGGGCGAGGATTAGTAAGTAAGAGTTCCTTCTTTTGATTGGAATCCAAAAGGGAAATTGCAAATATAACAGAAATTATTGGTCAGTCGAGTAAAGTAATCAAGTAACAACTAGTAGTAATCAACGGCCAACGGAACAACCCTACATTCATAACTGTATCGTTATTTTTAGCTTGATACGAATTAACTAATTTCAAAGAAATGTGGAGGGTTCAGGAAGGACCCGACGACCAAGAAGGTACAGTCGGCTCCTGCGCCTTGTTCGCAGCGGACGCTGGGGCGTGTCGAGACTGGGTTTGGGACGGCACGGCACCAGCCTGAAGCACACTATGAGCTGGAGATTTTGCTATTTTGCTCGAGCCCATACGACCCCTAGCTTTTTTCAGTTGGTTTGTACGACCCCCCCCCCTCCACCCCCTCTGGTTTCCTGTTCATCGAGCTGTAACGAGCGAAAGGGGCGGGGGGATATATGACACATGTGAAACGGTGAAGCTTAGGATAATACGCCTTCCCTTCCCTTTACAACGCCCTTGAAACAAGAAAAATCAGCCATCAAAGGAAATTTTTTCTAGCCCAAATACGACTCCCTCTCCCAGCGACCAAATACGATCCCCCTGTTGGGGATTCCCCAGCAACGATGTTCCCTGCATCAGCCTATCTTTCACCAATCGTTACGTTTGCTCGCTTCGACAATCTGTAGAGAACTGCTTAGTGCCGCGCCAAAGCCCAGCCCCTCCCCTCCCGCCGACACGCCCCCGCACCCGCAGCGAACAAGAATAAGTCCATATTAGTCTTGACATTTATGCACAGTGAATTTTTTTGTTGTAAAACTAAGAATATCAATGAATCTGAAAAAGACTGACCTCCAAATAGAGAAGTGGAATTTAGTTGGTCGACATCCATTGTTAACCCGTAATTTTGCTGAAATAGACTTCTGTGAATGCAAAAAAAATTGATGGGTAATTAGACGCAGTGTGAAGACGAATGAAAAGAACACACGAAAAATCAATAGATCGAATTGTTGAATCAAGCGGTTCCCCATTAATTTCTACCAAAAGTCCGGTAATTGTAAAGTTATCCGTGATTCACAGAGGTATGCGGGACCGTATGAAAAATTGGTTGTCCTGCACCAACCCTTCTTGTCCACGTGCGACCACTAAATATCCCAGAAATCTTTCAAACCGGTGGAGGGGCAATAGGGCACCTGAAGAGGAGAGAAATTTTCCGCCCTTTCCTATTGTCTTCATAAACCTGAATAGGTCCTCCTTATTGAGTATCCCTTGAGCTTCAATGGGCTTTAATACCATTGGGACTGAGTGTCCTTATAGACGCGAAGTACGACTACCTAAAAGTTGGCGCATGAAGTGCCCACGCCCACTGTCGGCCAAGGCGTGCACCTCGTATCATGCGAAATGGCGTCGAAATGCAGCAAGGACTTACTAGGAATGGACCCGAGGTGGAAGTGGCTTTCTAAGAATCTCAAGCAGCGTACTTTCTAACGCTGATCTTAAATCTTCTTTCAGAATGTGCAGGCGTTTCTGAGAACGCAGCTGTAGTGATGTTCCGCGCTGTCCTATCCACTGACGTGATAAGACGCCTCCATGGTAGGGATGAGGAGGGCTGCAGCCTGGGCCTGTTAAGATGGAAAGTTTTTCTCACATACGAGTAGTAGTGAGATCAATTCCTTCCTGCGATAGAAGTTTTGCTTTCACCATGAACTTTCCAAATGCTTGTAGGAACATCAGTGCTGACCTACACTTGCCTGTATAGGATATTCGCGAGCAGAACTTAACAAGTTTGACCGGTTCCAGCCTAGGAGAAGACTTATTCTTGCAAGGGCTTGTGGCTTACTCCGCCCAGAGCCATATTCTTGTCAAGCAGCTTAAGCCTCCCCTACGAGCACGCAGGTTCCACCCAAGGTCCAGACTTTCGTTCGTCCTAACTTTGAGAAAATGAGTGGGTGAGAACATCATGCGTCCCATGGACTAATGTCATCGTAGAGACCGGCGGTGACTAGCCTTAGTAGAATTTGCTGTGAGTCAGGGCTTAGTAGAAGATACCCTGCCGGAAATAGCAAATTGAAAATTCAAAGTGACTCCAAAGGGGCCACAAATAGGGCTTAATGGATGGGAATGCAAAGTGGACCGGTGAGAGCAAAGCATTCGCATTGTGTACGGCGAGATATTGGGAATGATGCAAAAACGCGAGTCAGATGTTGTTACTCTTCAAAAAACGTGGATAAAAAACTATTCGTCCCAAGATCAAGTCTTATTGAAAGGATAGACCAGGACTACTGGCCGGACTGCGCCCATGGACATGAACTTTTCCGAAGCTGGAACAAAATTCTGGGCGTGGCTGAATATCGCATCCAAAGGCAGTAAGTGCCCTTTAAGATGAAATGAGTAAGAGCCTCTCTGATAGGCTTCTGGTACGAAAACGTTTGTGGGGTGCGTGGCAAGTCCTGACACATCCAAGCCTTAGCAGGATGACTCTGTGAAAAACCCCCATAACTCCATTCACAGAAAATCGCGGTAGATTTGAAAGTAGTTCCGAGATGAGCGCTAGAAGATGCATCCGATGGTACAGGTCCCATTGCAAACGGAGAGTTGGACCTGAGGACCTTTGTAGAGATTGGGGGATACATCAGTTGGGGATTCCCACAGAGGGGGTCGTATATGTCGCTGGGGGAAGGTGGGTGTTTGGTCTGAGAAAACTTTTTTGATAGTTGATTTTTCTTGTTTCATGGACGCTGTTAGAAGGGGTGGGAGGAGGGCATATTTGCCACTTGAGTTTTCACAGTTCTTGACTTTTCGCGGTTTTTCTGCTTCATATGTGCTATGTACCCTAACTCCCCCTCCCCTCCCTTCCTCGACAGCTCGATCGTATCAGAGAAGGGATCTAGAGGGGTCTTATCATCAAGCCACCCCTAGGGGGATTGGACGGACTCCAGTAAAATTTCCATCCAGTGATGTGCTTTAAGTAACGGTGCCGAGAGTTTGAATGGTTTTCCTGTTGACTGCAGTCACTACGCGGCAGTCGGCGGCACTATTACTAGTAAGTCGTTGCAGCCAGAATTATGAGGCAGCAACGTAATAAGTAGAGGTTTGGGGTACGTTAATAGCTTTACTATTTGTAAAATCAGAGTTATGGACATCTATGAGCGCAGCTGACATTTCGAATGGCAATTCGTCAGCTCAC